TTGTGTGGGACAGTGGAAATAATGTGGGAGTTGGATTCACAATGACCTGGGATTGAATCCTGGTGCTGTAACTTATTCACTGGGTAACTGCGGGCATCCTACCACTATCAGTTCCCTCATCTCAAATATACGGATAATAGTAATGACCTCACAGGGTTGTTATGGGGGTTAGAAGTGATACGTGCAAAATCTTAGCCCATCCTCAGCGCATAATCTAAGCAATACAGGTTACTTTTATTATTATAGCATGGTGAGAAAGACAAAAACACAGTAACTACTGGCCCAGAAAGACAATTAAACCCAAGAAGAAAAGGAGAGAAAAATGAAGCCCTGTGTCTTGTAGATGTTAACTAATGTTCCACAAAAGAAAGAACTGATGGTTTCATTGGAAATAAGAGCATTAAACCCAGTTTTTAAAACTCATACATATTTCTATCTCATTGGCCCTAAATAAGATTGGCCACCTCCTTGCACATCTTATTTTTATCATTCTCCAGAAACTCATAAGATACAAAAGATGATTCAGACCCAGTAAATACCAGGGTGAGAAGAAACACAAAATGGGAAAGGAGGGGGTGCAGACACATAAGTAAATAATTACAATAAAATATCACGAATGCCACAAGAAAGATAAATATAGAGCATATGAGGAAACTGTGATCTATATGGAGATTTCAGTTAAGCTTTATGAAGGAGGGGATGATCCCAGATAGTTTTAAAGGATGAGGAGAAGCTATGACTGAGAGACACTCCAGGTAGTAAGGACAGAATGTAGAGATTTTAAATAGTGGTAGACCATTAAAGGATCAGCCAAGAAATGTCGATCAGTCTAGAGTGACTTTCCCATAGAATACAAACAGTAAGAGAGGCAGCTGGAAAGATACAGATTCACGTCTATTGTGAAGGAGCGTCTAGGTCTAGAAAAACATTGGAATTCTACAAGAGGGAATGACGTAATAAGATTAGAAGATGAATCAGGCAGCCTGTAGCAGAGGGGCTCGTTATGACACTTTTTACAAACAGCCATGTGAAAGATGATGAAGTTCAGAACTAAAACTGCAGCTCTAGAGATACAGAACAGGCCTACATGTGCAGGAAGGTAATCTACAGAGAACTGGCAGGATGTGGCAGCATATGAGGGGTAAATGAGAGGGAGAAATGAAAAGTGACTGGGAATAGCTTGAGACACTCAGTGGATAGGGATGTCAGTAACCAATATGTGGACTTCTAGAAGACCGTACACTTTGGTGCAAGCCATGACAATGAGCTCAGTTTTGAATAGCATGGGCAGAAGTAACCAGGGGACATCTGAATGGAGCCATAGTCTGTTCAACATAAAAGTCTGGAAATCAAAGGAGAGGCCAAGAAAAGAAGCCTCCTGTATATTTATGAGAATAAGTGAGAAAACCCACAGTTTAACCTATAGAAAGAGTAGGTAGAACATATCTCTGATATCCCAAGGTAATAACCTTGAAAACAATGTAAAATTAGATTAATGGTTCTTGTCTAATAAAGTCATGCTAGCTTCTGGTGATCACTGCTTTTAACTTAAGAGCTCATTTTCTTGCTTCCTTTTGAAAAATCAAAATTAAATTTGCCTATCTCTCCTCTGTTTACCATAACTTCTAGAAAACCAATATTCATTTCATGCCAAGTTCTCCCAGTATCCACACATAGAATTCATAGATAAAAAGGGACATGCAGTGGGTACCTGTGATGTTTTTCTACCCCAAACTCAATTTGAGGATCTCAAAATGTGTATTTTACTTCTCTAAAGACACAGTTAAGAAAGTATATTTATCAATAGATATTTATCAAGCACCTACCAAGTCAAAGTGGGGGTTATAAAAAAAAAAGTAGAAGGTGTGGACCCTGCACACCAAAGAAAACCTTCCTCAAAACATCCAGTACATGGGGTCTATGTAAAACTAAATTTGGAACTTGGTAAAACAAGTACAGACGAGTACGTGAGGAAGTTGGGAGATAAACACACTGCTAGAGAAATACAGGTGGAGATACGGGTGGATCTGGGTTTGGTTAGGAGTGATTCAGACCTCCTACAGAGAATGGCTCCTCCCTGGATGGACTTGCTATAAAAGGGCCACTATCCCAGACTTCAGCACCCAGCAAAGCTCCTTCAGGCTACATTCTACTTACTCGTCTGGTGAAGAACGTAAGTAAAAGGGAATACATCTAACTTTGCCTACTTGGTATTAAGCAAGGTGGAAATACGGGAGGTATGTGTGCTCTGAGGGAAATGTTCTGGATGTTTGAGGATCTTCATTTTTAGTGGAACTGTTACTAAAACCTTATTTTGATATAAAAGGAAAATGAAGCATAAATGTGTTTCCTATGAAGCTACTCAATACTCTGTATTGCTGGAGTTTCCATTTATTCATTCATTCAATAAATATATACAAACTGCCTTCTATTTGCCAAGTGCTGCACTTGGCTGATTATGCAGCAGTGACGATATAAACTCCCTACTCTAAGGAGCTTGCATTTAGTAGAAGGAGACATCCAGTAAACAATAAATGAACAAGAATTTCAAATAGTGCTAAGAACAATGAAGAAAATAAGAGAGTGGTGTAATAAAGTGATGGGAGGAGAGAATTTTAGATTAGAAGGCCGGGGAAGATCTCTCTGGGGAATTCTCCTTTAAACGGAGATCTTAATGACAAAAGGAACCAGCCAAGGCAAAGGGCAAGATTCTAAATAGGAGTCAATTTGTTTCAAAGAATAAAAAGAAGGGGCACCTGGGTGGCGCAGTCGGTTGAGTGTCTGACTTCAGCCAGGTCACGATCTCGTGGTCCGTGAGTTCGAGCCCCGCGTCAGGCTCTGGGCTGATGGCTCGGAGCCTGTAGCCTATTTCCAATTCTGTGTCTCCCTCTCTCTCTGCCCCTCCCCCGTTCATGCTCTGTCTCTCTCTGTCCCAAAAATAAATAAAAAACGTTGAAAAAAAAATTTAATTTAAAAAAAAAAAAAAGAAGCTAGTATGCCTAGAGCATATTTAACAAAAAAAACAGTGGTGTGTGGTGACATCAGAGAGCTAGATGGAGTAAACCATGTAAAGAGAGGCATAGTAGAATTTGTACATTACTTTAACTACATAAGAAGTAATTGGAGAGTATTCAGCATAAAGAATGAGATAATCTAATGCATGTTTTTAAAAGATCATTCTGGGGGCTGAGTTAGTTAAGCGTCTGACTTCGGCTCAGGTCATGATCTCATAGTCTATGAGTTTGAGCCCCAAATCGGGCTCTGTACTGACAGCTCAGAGCCTGGAGCCTGCTTCAGATTCTGTGTCTCCCTCTCTCTCTGCCCTTCCCCTGCTCGCTCTCGCTCTATCGCTCTCTCGCTCTCTCTCTCTCTCTCTCTCAAGTAAATAAACATTAAAAAAATTTTAAAAGAGCCACATCAGTATGGATATATGAATATATCCAGTAGAGAAGGATGACAATTGCAAAAGCAAACTTTTTGAGTAGGCAAAGGGGTTCCAGTGCCAAAACAGAGGACAGGAGCACAGACTGTACACATACACAACATCACTGCTGGTTAAAGTCTATGGACACAGATGCACGAGGCTGGAAGATCAGAAATTGGCAAAGTGAGGAAATTCTTTTCATTAGCTTCCAAGCTCTCAGTGAAATAAAACTCAAGGACTTCTTGTGAGATAAAGTACAAAAAGTAACTGTTGAGCTTTTGCCAGTAAGTACAAGAAAGACGGGGTACATGCTAGAAGCAATGACAGAGATTAACCAAATGTCTAACCAGAGTAAAGAGGTAGGTGAATACATAAAGCAGAAATAAACAATGAGGCCACAGAATTATTGAAATCAGAGTACCAGAGGAGGTCAGAAAGTGCAATCCTTGAGATGCAGACTTTTGGGGACAGCACAATTACACATAAGTTCAAGGTCTGGAATATCAACATAAATGACAGTGCCTGAAAAAAATCTTAATTTCTTTTTGTAAAAAGCATACAACTGTATTTTTTAATTCAATCTTTACAAACTGTCTTTTAGCCAACCAGTCTGATCAATTCACATACATAATTCATGATAAAATTATATGTAATCCTACTTTTATATTTTACACTTTCTGTTTACCCTCCCTTATCTATGCTTCTTATTTTCTTCTTTCCTGGTTTCCAATGCATTGATTGAAGCTTTTTTTTTTTAATTTTTATTTTTCCTCTCTATGGTTGAAAAGTTATAAACTGCATTACTTTAGTGGTTACTCATAAACTTATCAAAATACAGGTTTAACAATGTCAAGAATTAACACCTATTTCCTCTCATAAAATAATCCAAGGTCCATACATACTTTAGCTCGATTTCAGTCATGTCTTTCACATTATTATTTCCTATATCATATTAGTTTCATCTGGTTTTATAACTTCTAAAGTAGTCATTACAATGCTTTTATAAAAAAATGCTTATTTGGATGTCATTACAATGCTTTTATAAAATAAATGCTTACTTAGATTTATTGACCTGCTTAGTAATTTCTTTGTTCACCAATTACATAAATTGAGCATGCCTTAAATGCTCTTCATTAAGTGGCAAAATGAAAGCCAGTCAATAACAACAAAAAAAAATGTATAATATTGAGAAGCTATTAAAGCCACCCTATCCAATTAAAAATACTGTATACATCATGAAATGTTGATTTTAAACAAAGGTGGAAATTCAATCTAATAATTGGTAAGACCTTAGAAAAATAAAAGACAGAGGCAGTAGGGTGGCTATGTCAGTTAAGCATCCACTTCAGCTCAGGTCATGATCTCACAGTTCCCAGGTTCAAGCCCTACATCAGGCTCTGTGCTGACAGCTCAGAGTCTGGAGCCTGCTTTGGATTCTGTATCTCTCACCCCTCCCCTGCTCGCACTCTCTCTCTCTCTCAACTAAATAATCTTTTCTTAAAAAAAAAAAAAAAGAAGAAGAAGAAGAAGAAGAAGAAAAGACATACAAAAGTACATTTTTATTTCTTCCTTCCAGGTTCACCTTTACTACCAAAAGATGTCTACTCTCCTGGAAAACATCATTGCCATCATCGACCTATTCCATGAGTACTCAACAACAGACAAGGAGACTGACACACTGAGCAGGGAAGAACTGAAGGAGCTCCTGGAAAGAGAGTTTCGGCCAGTCCTGAAGGTAAGGGATATCAGCCAGGACCCAAGGGTGTATCATGTTTGTTTTGCAGCAGCATTGTGACAATATCTGTGAAGTCTTTGTAAATTATTACTTTTGGAAAAGAAAAGAGACTTCATTTAATTCAAAACAAGTATTATTTTCCTCTCTTTACACATTTGATATACTATGTGCAAACAAAAATGTGCACAACACACAAACACACATTCATCTTCTATGAAAGAAATATAAATACTTAATGACAAAAACTGAACACCAAAAATTAGTTCTTCATATTATGTTTCCTAATCTCAAGAATGCTAACAAGCTCCACTAAAAAGACAATGCACTGATGGATTTCATAACATATGTACATTAAAAAGAAAAACCAGTAATATGACCCATCCAAATTATTACTTTTCACACACTACTATTTAACATATATTTTTAGGTACATTATCTACACTTTCCTGTAACTAATCATAAACTGAACATTAGCAAAGACACAACACCACATATGCTCCCACATTTCCTTACCGGAAATCAGAATCACCAGTTGGTTGGATTATTCAACTGACCAAGGGAATCACTCTCATGTAATCTCCCTGTATCTTCCATATGTACAGAATCCAGATGACCCAGACACTGCTGATGTCTTCATGCATATTCTTGATCTAGACCATAACAAGAAAATTGACTTCACTGAGTACTTTCTAATGGTATTCAAGTTGGCTACAGCATACTATGAGTCAAACAGAAGACAGAACTTCCAAGCAACAGAGCAAAACCAAAACCACCATGCACACCATACAAAAGATGAAGACGATGATTTAGATGAAGACAAAGTACAAGAAGAAAAAGAAGAAAAATTGAGAAAATCCACACAATCAGGAAAAACCCATGAAAAAAGGAAGGAGACAAGATCCAAAGGACTAAAAGGAAAAGGGGAAAATAGACACAAGCAAAGACCTGACAATTCTAGACAGGCAGGACCCCTTGAGGGTGAGGAGGCTGATGGTGGACACTCGGAGCGAGGATCTCGTCACCATCAGTCATC